TGTTCTTACGCCAAGAAACTAGCTTTAATGAGATGAAAAAATAAGATTTCTACTTTTCTTACGGTTATGATCTTGACTAGAGACCTGCAACCCGACCCGACCCTAGGTTCGGGTTAAGATGCTGTCGGGTTCGGGTTGAATATTTGGCGACGCAATTTAAAATATAAATAATATTTTTAGCTTTGTATTACTGGTTGAAAGTTATCTCTACTGGAATTTCTAGTTGAAAGGCTTGTTTCAGAACAACTGCATTCACTAAGTCGATTAATGATTGCTTTCTTTGCACATAAGAGAGTGCTTCCTGCACTGAAATCAATGGCAATACATCCCTTACTGCTTTTTTTTCAATGTACTGTTTTAAACACCCGTACATAGAATACTTTACTATAATGCTCTCTACTTGCTATCTTAGTATTAGGTGATACTGACTGACCAATGAGAAAAAGGATGTGGTCATCATCTCGGTTAAGATAATCTATTGACAAAGTGTACAGAGGAATTTTTAATAGATTAACCTTTTAGACAAAATGACCAATCAGACGTCGTTCAAAAATTTTTTTTTGAACTATGAGATTCTACAATATGCCCCGAAAAACTTTTGTCTAACAAGGCAAGTCTATATTCTTTCTCAAACACAGTTTTCTGGTGAGATTGTTTTCGTCTGGTCGGGTCGGGTTCGGGTTAGGTGTACTTAACCCGTGCAGGTCTCTAATCTTGACACAGAAGTAGAATAGAATTTTTTCTTGTCACTTCAGAACTAACTCAAGATCAGTCTGAAAGTCTAACTCACATGTGAAATGAAAAGTCTGAATATCTCTCTCTGTTTTTCTCTTGTTTGTTAGACTTATCAGAATTCTGAGTGAATCTTCGACCTTTACATGACGCTCTGCATCGACGAAAATCCGAAACTTTCGCATACAAAAACATATAAGAATACGCGCCAGAATGGAAGTAGATACATTCTGAATCCGTAGTATGATAGCATTTAGTACCAATTTTGGGAAAAGTATCTGAGAAGAAAAGATCGATTCTAGAGTAACAAATGTCCGAGCATTCTATTGTGGTTCATACTGACAATTTGTGAATGAACTTACATAGGTCTGAGGTACTCGATTATAAAGCATCACAAAACTGACAAAAAGCCAGAACTATGCGCAATTCATAACTCAAAATAAAAAAAATCTAAACAAAGGTGTAAATTTCATAAAATAGGATTAGAGATCTAAAAGTCCGTGATTTCTTGATTTCTAGATTTCTTGGATAGCAAACTGGACATATTATGAGTGCAAGTCTCTAATCCTTAGATTAGTAAGAACACGGAAAAACACAACTTTTATCGGCAAGAAAACTCATCTAGAATGAACTTTTCTTATGACAGTTAGAATTCTTATTTTACCATGTTTTACCCGGCTTCCTCTCCGGGAGCAATTCATCTCAGAATTAGTTAGAATTGAAGCTCAGAATACTGCTAACTCGCTCGCTATCCACTTATTGTGAATAAATTATCATTTGAACTTATTCAACTTTTCGAATTACTTTTATATATGCGCGTGTTCTTTTCTGTTTTCACACCTTTTATATGTCACGTTGTTCTACAACGAGACTTGAATTTCACATTTTTCTGCAAAAGCAAACTGGACATATTATGAGTGCAAGTAAAATTAAAAATCGCTGCACACCGTATTCAGATCAGCAAAATTTGAGGCGCTCTTCTCGTGTGGCAAATAAAAATAGCTCAAGAAGTATATTGGATATTACACTAACAATAAATGATAACCGCACTTCTGATTAGGACGTTTCTCATTCTTCTACTAATAACATAAATATTAAATCAGCTCTATTTAAACATACTATTGATCAGAAACATACTATAGACTGAGACGGATTCAAAGTTTTACTAACAGACAGTAATGAATCAGGATGATAATGACAAGAATTTTAGTTCAAAGATTTGCTTACAGCGTTACTTCCAGAAGCAGTAGATTCGAGAGTGCTGCATCTTCGAGCTTTTCGATCATTCTGAATCTATCCTGCTATTCCGCTACATCACTATTTCACTATATCAATATTCCGCTATTTCACTATTCCGGTATGTTTGATAGAGCAATTCGGTTTACTGTGAATTTGCCGCAAAATCAAATTCCCCATGAACTCATTAAATGGGAAGATGTCGATGAGTATTTGAAGAGTATTGGTTTATGACCGCGAAAACTTCTCATAAATGAGCAACAGTGTTTATCAAAGGTGATTATGAAGAGTTTTCAAATGATTTACGGGGTGGCAAACAAACGGACAAATTTTATGATACATTTCCCGAAATTGAATCAGATGCTAGAGCATTCGTTGTTCAAGCAAGTTCGCAAAAATCAGCGGAGTTTAAAGCAGCGGACCTGGCTCAGTTCATCGATACAAAATATTATGAACTAACCGGAATTCAAAAACAAATTGGAGATGATTTGATAAGATCGGTAAGAAGTTATCGTCTGGACCTCCGTAGATGGGGAGCTAAGTTCGAAGCGAATTCACAACGTCCATATTTTGAAGGACATGAAAGAGACGATGTTGTGAAACATCGTAATGAGTTTATTGGTTATTTTCTAACACATAACGATTCTTATTACACAATTACTGATGGTGACACACTTATGTGGAATGTGCCGACCCAAACTCCTCATAGAATACTTATATGTAAGAAGAGGAATCGAAATCTGTTAAATATAATTACTCTTATGCTATTTTTTATGTTTATCTTTACTAGTTCATGATGAATCAACGTTTAGAAGTGGTGAAATTAGCCCAAAGCGATGGTTTTTCGAAGAGAATAACCCTTTTTTCTCGAAAGGACGTGGTCGAAGTCATATGGTGTCTGATTTTCTTGTTCAACATCCTAGTGGACCGTTTTTTCAACTTAGTGAAGATGAATGGAAACTAGCAGTTGCAAAATATAAATCATTAAGTGCCGATAATGATGTTAATTATCTTAGTCGCTAGTATTAATATTGGAACAGACGCATATTTCGATAACGATACGATCTTGGAACAGTTTGAAAGATTATTTCACCTGTTAGTATTTAAACAAGAATACAAGCATCATCAGATAGAAATCATGGTCGACAACGCAAGAACTCATACTACTAAAGCATATTCATTACAAGACTTTGCTAAAGGTATTGGTAAACAGTGTCCGATCGATCAAATAGAATATGTCGATAAAAATGGTGTAACAAAAGTTATTGATTGTTATTTTAAACAGGAGGAAAACAAAAGTAAATCAAAAGGTTTAGTTAAACTATGTAAAGAATTAGGTGTACAACTACCGGCTAAGGTTAAATTGGATGAAATTCATAAAATACTTTCAAAACATCGAGCCTTTCAAAATGTAAGTGAAAGTCATTCCATATTTTGTAAGATATTTCATCCTACATAATTTTCTCTATTGTCTAGGTTACAAAACTTGACATGCTAGTGAGCAAATATAATGTCAAGATTATATACTGCCCTAAATATCATTGTGAATTAAACGCAATTGAAAGCCTTTGGTGCAATCAAAAGGCATTTGTTCACAATTCCGCTATTTCATGCATTTAATGTTGAAGAAACAACAAACGGATACTATCACCAACACTCAGATCAACGGGTTTTTGCAACTGCTGATTCTCTCCATAGTATTCAGGACGCTGAGTTACCTATAGTACGT